TATAATGGGTTATTGACATACCTACCATAATTGCTATTGGGCTCGGAGTGATCCATCCCTCATGATATTTAACAACCCATTTCCCCATAATTGTAAGGTACGGATAGGCTTTCTCACTCTCAAACTTGGGATATCCGTGTTGGTTGATTCTTTGGGTCTCAGCCGTTGGAATCGACCTAGCTGCCTATTTTTTATATTAATTCATTGAAGATATTGAAATTAAGGAGCAGTTAATACTGAAAAATATTGAATTATTAGATTCACAATGCAGTGTCACCACGGAGAAGTATGCGTTGTTTCATGCAGTAAACATGTATTTTCCATTTGATACAAACTACAATTAATGCAATATAAAATAAACTAACATTGGAATGAATATTTTGGAACAATGAGCCTTGAACAAAAAAATTTGTAAGGGCTAGTGGCATAAATAGATTGTGGAACAATTGGTCGTTGGGACAAATGTACATTTTGAATATTAATTAAAATTTGAACAAATTGACTTCGGAACAACTGTATAGGTATTTTGTGGAAGGTAGTGAATACTGAATACTGAATAGTGAATAATGATCCACCCAATTCTATTAGGCCATTCGTATCATTCGGACAATCGTACCCAATACCCATTATCACCACCAAGTAATCTAATGCCGTGATCGCCACTCATCGACTCGTATTATTCTGTATTCATTATTATTATTATTATTGCCGAAGTAATAATAAGGTATTTAGCGTTAGTAAAAAAAAAAAGTAACATAAGTAATAATAGTAATAATAATTTTCTTTACGGTAGTACGGTTGCCAAAACCCATTAGTTTTAGTTTTTGTGCGATATTTCTGTGTTCTGTCCACAAACAATAGAACACAGTGCCGTGTTTTCGTTTTTGTAACCCAATCGTTTTTCAATTTGTATTCGGAAAGATTTAGGTAGTTATTTTATTTGTGTTTTCATTTATAGAACATTACACTGACGAATTCACGGGGCGTAACACTAACGTAAACATACAATTTTCGTTGCAGGAATGTCCGACGGGGACATGATCAAAGACGGCGTGGATAAGTTGGCGATTCACGACGACGATGAAATCGATTCTAACTACAAGCCGCCACCAGAAAAATCTATTGAAGAGCTCTTGAATGCTGACAAAGAAGACGCGAGCTTGCAAAAATACAAAGAAAAATTACTGGGTGATGCTAACAGTGGGAAAATCATTTTTGGTAACTATAATTAATTGCAATTATTGGGAAGTGTATTGTATCTAGGTAATTAATAACACATTATTACAGTAATATATTTTAATAATGAATGTTTTAAAACAAATTTTATTGCAAAGTATTCCGCTTTATATACTTGTATAATAGTTCATATTTTTGGATTCATTTTTAAATTTAATCTAGGTTATTCCTTTAAAAATAAGTTTATACTTATTTCAATACCTTCATTTTGTCTTGAAATAAATAATTGTTATAAGTATATTAGAAATTTCTGTGGGTAACTACAATATAAAATAAATATTTTTACCAAATTATATTGCTATTTAAACTTAGTATAGTTTGAAATTGTTTTATTTAATTTAAAATAAATATATTAGAACAATAAGATCTACAATATAAAATTTATTTTTTTTAAACTCCAACAGTTTCTTTTATACAATTTATATTTCAATTCTTAATTATTGATGTAATATAGCAGTTATTTAACTTGTATTTAATTAAAATTTAACCCTGTACTAGTCGCCTAGTTATGTATTTTTTGATTAGTTGCAATAGTCCTATTAGTATTATGTCCCAGTCAGTATTATAGAATTTACCATTTAATTTACAAAACTCTGGGATACATAATATGTAACTCATGCAACTGATGAAGGGTTAATACTTTAATAGGTGTAAACATGCTAAGTTGAATTAAATTTTATTTCTAGATGAAAATAATCCAAATAAAGTGATCGTCAAAAAATTGGCATTATGTGTTGCTGATAGACCAGACATGGAACTTGATTTGTCCGGAGATTTAACAAATTTAAAAAAACAGGTTATTATTTTATTTTAAATTTTAAACCATTTACCATTTTTGTAGCATTTTACAAATATAATTACATTTTAGGTGTTCATAATAAAAGAAGGAATATCATACAAAATTAGAATAGATTTTATAGTACAACGAGAAATTGTTCATGGTCTGAAATATGTTCAAAAGACTTATCGTCTAGGTGTACCAGGTAATATTGTTAAATTGGCTTGATATAATAGTACTTAAAATACCAGAGATCACTAGTAAATACTTTTCGAGAGACACTTTAGAAATTCAGGTTTTGGGAGCCAGGGGGCCATACAAATTATATGTTTAGGTTTATTCAAAGAAAGTTAAAGTAAAATTAATAAAAAACATCATTTATTAATTTACCCTCAGATAAAAAAATGTCCTCTTTTTGGGATGAATAAAGGTCATCTACAGGCTGCATGTTACCTCCTTGACACCATTTGGTACCTTTACTATGTACAAAACAATTGATAATTTTAATTCATGTTTAAAAACTGTATGTTAAATGTTCAACTTAAATATTTATATGATTCATTATTATTTTAAAAAAAGTATATTTTTTATTTAAATTTTGTTCAATTGAAATTGTAACTGAATTAAGAGTAAACAATTAGAATTTAAAGGATACTAAAATATCTGATTAAATAAATGTTTAAAAAAAAAGTACCATTATTAATGATGTAGTGTATACAAAATATGTTGATACATATAAAATTGAATTTTTTTATGCAAATAGAAATTTTAACTGAATTCCAGTACATGTCAATAATTATCAGTATTATAACTAGCAGTTTAGATATCCAACACTACTGAAGTACATGCCGTATAATATCCAATTACTTTTATTACTATTCAAATATAGTCATAGTTATAGTATTTGAATAAACTATCAAAATGTATAATGACATTGCTTCAAGAGAATTATTAATTATATTTGTAATGTTACATTTTTTTTGTTTCACTTTATTAGATATGATTATTTTATTATTATCTAAGTGTGGTATTCTGCATAATAATGATATTATCCCTATGCCTTATTAGTTATCATTTGGATATAAAAAAAATGCTCAAATTTATTTTAATTTTAAATGTTTCCATTGAAATAGGTATATTATTAAAATTATATTTTTTTAAAATCAGCACATTCACCATTTGGGAGGGGTTTATAAGTATAACTATTGTACATATATTTTTTAACAATAACGTCACAAATCAATGTAGCCATGTATTCATTATAAACAAAAATTTAAGGTTCATTTTAACATGTCATAGATGGTGAAAAAATGTATTTTATTGTTTATAATTTCTAGTTATTTATATAATTATCAGTTATTATTTTTATTAATTTAGACTACAGGCATAAAGAACTATAATCAAAATTTTAAATTATTGATCAGTTATTAATATGTTATTTGTAGATTAATTTATTTTTCCAGATTAGTTAGTTTTGTACTTATTAGTTATTGTGACTATCTGATTAAAAAAAAAACCAATCCTCTTTGTTTTTCCAAAAGGTAGCAGATTTTGAGTATGAGTACCTTCCATAGTTTTAGCCTTTTAGGGTCAACAAAATGGGTTGTTCACCAATAAATTTACCTGTACTGAAGAGTTTTAAAATATTTGTTTACCAAAATACAATTTTGCATCATAATTGGATATTTGGATCCACAAACTTGAGTATTAGGTATGAGATCATGTTCTTGGAAGATCATAACATCTTTTTCGCTGTATTGTTAATCTCGGAGCAGTATAGTAGACACTAAATAGGAAATTTGGAATTTAGTACATCATAATAAAATTGACATGTTTAATTTTTAGTCTCATGTAGTCAAAGTGAGTCGGTAACCAATAAATTCCATTTATTCTTTAATTTCCAATAGTAACATCTATAACTGGGGGAAACTGTTTCGAATTTTAAAATGGCCCTGCTGAGAAATTCACGATTTAAAAATTTAGTATTTATTTATGGTTAATTTTTATTTGTTTTGCTGCAAAATAGTTTGAGGTAAACTAATCAACATTTTCATTAATAATTTATACAATTGATAATATGGTAACTTTTTTTTAGTTGACAAAATGACTCACATGGTTGGATCGTATCCACCAAAGATGGAAATTCAGAGTTATACAACACCTGCTGAAGATGCTCCTAGTGGCATGATGGCACGCGGCTCATATACGGTCCATTCTTTATTTACGGATGATGACAAAAAGGAACATTTAAAATGGGAATGGGTATTTGAGATTAAAAAAGACTGGAAGGATAACTAATTTACAGGGAATTTACAATATCAGTTATAAATTAAAATCATAAATTTATAACAATTTAATTACATAAACAAATGATTAATAAATTTATTTTCATTCATCTTTTTCTTAGATTTATAGATAATTTTAATTTTAATAAAAATCCAATTTTTATTCGTATTATTACTACTATTATTTTTGTAATCTTCGATAATTGAACATTGCATGGTTATTTATAAATATATATATCTGTAATTTTATATATGTATGCATAAATACTATTTTGTTTAGACTACTACGTCTTACTATGGTGCCAAAGTTTTAATTTGATCAAAATTCTTTCTACTTGCTCTGGTCTCTAATAAGATTTTCATTCAATTATGTTTACTTAATATTTATAGGGACCATGAGATTTTTATCGAACAATATAATATTTTAGTTTTTATTTTAACATCACTAAAAAATTAAATATTGTATTTTTGTGAAAGGAAAATTAATTTTTTATTGTAATTTTTTTTATACCTCATCGTAAATAATTATATTCAATTACATTCATAAGTTTCTAAGTGTTATGTAATAGATCAAATAATAAATCATTATTGAAATATAAACATTTTTTTATTGTTTTCAAATTGCAAGCTAATACTAGTTATAAATTATATAAATAATAGTTGTGATTACATTGTCTCTGAAAATAGATTAAATTGTAGGAGGAAATATGTAATTTCTAAAGACATAATTATTTTTTTAATCAAGCGGAATTAATGTTTTTAAATTTCTTCTACTATTAGTATAAATTAATTTAACTGGTTTTATTTTCATCTTATTAATAAAATAATAAATATGTCAAAATCAATGTTTTAAAAAAAATATTTATGTATCATTGAAATGAAACAATATATTTTATTATTAGTGGCGACGTCTATCTCGATCTCTTCTGTCATGTTTGTGGGTTCGACTGCGACTACGACTACGTGAACGATGTCTACTGTGGCGGCTACGTGACCTGTCGATGTGTAAATAAACCATTATTTATAATTTCTTAGTATAAAAACAAAAAAGTACCTAGACCGTCGGTGACGTTCATTTCGATCACCACTTCTAGACCGGTGACTTCTTTTGTCATCTCGTTTACAACGCTCTTGTTCATCAAATTTACGCCGAGCTTCATGTCTTTCTTCATAATTTTTCTATTATAAGGAATTAAATAATTTATTTTTACATTTTAAATTTGTTAATAATTATATTGTCTCACTTCAAGTTCTGATAGTTTTTCTCTTATTTTAATAAAACCTAAATGTAATTTTCCTCCAAAATGGTCAGCTAATCTTCGATCGTTATCATGAATACCTAAATAAGCTGAACATACATCACACACTCTTAATTTTTGCTGTTGATAACTGCTAACAGGCATAGAATTTCTATAAGTATCTTCTGCTTCTGATTTTTTTTTACGTAGATCTTCAATCTTTTATCAAAGAAATGTATTTATATATATTAATCTTGTATCAAAGTAATGTATTTATATATATATTAATATTTTATAAAAAAAAGTTATATCTAACATACTTCTCCCATCAACTTGAGACTTTCATCAACTAAACCTTGGGCACCCAATTCTTCAGCTTTGGCCAATGTTTGTCCTATCTTCTCAGCTAACTCATGAACAGCATTGGCTTTTTCAGCTACTTCAGCAGTAAGTTCTTCCTGAGTTTCTAATAGTCGTTTTCGAGCTGCTTCAGTCCTGCGGTCACAATCACTAATAAACGCTTGTAAATGTTCAGTAGCCTAGAGAAAAATAATAGAGGATTAGTTATTTTTAATTGATACTCATTTATCTAAAAATGATAAATTACTTCATCAACTTACATCCACATCATAATAATGATCAAACTTCTGTTGAGCTTTTTCAAAATCTGCTCTTAATGCATTATCGTGTATTTTTGGACACTCTCCAATGTCCATGCGCTGAAATAATATAAAAATTTAATAATATAATACATCAAATAACCTAATATGGGAATTAAGGATTTACATGGAAAAATATCAGGTTGACCTGGAAACATGAAAATATACACAATATAGGGAAAATAGCATTATATTAATTAATGACTTACGTATCGAGTACTTAACAACCTCAAAACTTACACTTGCTCACTCTAAGAAGATACATGGCCTGAATGAATTATGTTAAATAAATATAAATAATATAACATAACATTAAGCAACAAAATATAATTAATGTATTGTAACAGATAGCTCTGTCGTTGTCTCAAAATTTTTTGACTTACAGACAGACGACCATTTACAATTTGCTCACCGACATTGAAGCATTGATGGCGAGCATCTTCCCCATCTTTGTATCATTGTCTTGAAACGAATCAAAACACAATTCGTTTTTGACTATTCCTAGAGAGGGTGACAATAATCAGGATTAAGAGTAAAACATTCGCATTCAAATAGACGTAAATTAACTGAGTTGATGTACGTACTGTCTTCGATGAAGCTACATTTTCAGAATAATTTCGGTAGATAATACCGATTGATAACTTAGAGATAATAATTAACTACTCACAAAAGATTTGTCGATATCATGGTAGGCTTTGTAGATAAGTTCTTTTTAAGAGTAGTGAACAATATAGAAGTCAAAGAAAATTTACCCTACAATTAATTAAAAAAAAAAAATTATACTAAGGCTATGAATGAATTCCCTAAGTTTATTTTACCTATATATTATTTACAAATGCAAAATTAATGTTATGTATTAAAGAATGTCTAATTGAAATTTAAATATTTTACTGGTAAATATATTATATTTATGAAGAAAAAAGAGTTAAGCATTTTTATGTTTTAATTATTTGGTACTAGGAAGCAGATTTTTTGAACTTTAAAAGTATTCAAGTATGTAAGTAAATTCAGAAATAATTATTTTAAGTAAACAATTTTCATTAAAAATTCTAGTTTAAAACTCGAACATACCTTACAGTATTTGAGTAAATTGAATAGTTGTTGATAAAATTGTGATTATGGATGAACAAATACGTTTACAAAAAAATAACAGTAATAAAATTCTTGTTTGACTTATTGTCAAAAAAATAACTAACTACCTAAACTATAGTTATGATTTTTGAGCATGTATTCTTAAAATTATAAATGGTTAAAAACATCATCCGTGAAATTTATCAACAAAAAAAATAAACATTTCTTCACAAACATTTATTAATAATTATAAAATATAGATGATATCAATGGTTCGAGATCTGAATTGATACTTTCTTATCTTAGTAACTATGTACGGATAGCTAAATACCATTTAAGATATTATAATTTATGGACATATTTAGGAAATTTGTGTTCATCTATATTAATTTATTTTGAAATTCTATGAAAATTTCTAGAAAACCCTTCAATCTGCACTAGCTTACGAAATATATAGTTAAAACCATAAAATTAACTCTTAAACATTCAAAGTATGCACTAAAAGTTTCATATTTTCAATCTTTAAGGTAAGTTTTGAGCATACATTAACATAATGTATGGAATCTGCTTCCTAATTATTACAAAGTATTAATTTGAAATTAACAACTAAAAATAAAAAATCTCATTGAGAATATATCAAATAAGTTGTTCAAGTTTAATTGAACATTTTAAAATATAGGTTTTTATTAGTATAGGTAATAATGTAATATTAACTTAAAATTAGTACTATAGTTACATAATAATAATATCCTTAGTCATTATAAATAGTTTCATTATTATTATTATTATTATTATTAGGTTATTATTGATTGGATTATTAATAAGAAAATATAAATTAACAATATCTTAAATCCCATAAAACAAATAAATAAATGAAACATTGTTTGTTTTAAGTCATATATAACAATTAATATTATTCAATTAACTCAAAAATAATTGTTTATAAACTTAACATTTTTAAATTTACATACGATTAATATGTTATTGAGGAAAAATAAGAAATTATTAATTTTAGTCAGCAATATTCTACATAATATCTATTATCTACCTATATACAATTGTATGAACATATTTTAAACAATATTCATGTTTTTTTCTCCCTAATAAAGAATATGTAAACATAATTAAAACCCAAAAATTATTTACTCACGTTTTCTGGAAGTATTGAGTTAATTTATTATGACAAACTTAATTATTTCTATATAATAAATACTATAAGCTTTTACATAAAAACGAACACTACACATGTTAATTATAAGGTAATGAATACAATACAAATTAACGAACATAATATATAGAAATACTCACAATAATAGATGATTTGTCAAGACTTTGATAATACTACCTACTTGTTATATTAAGTTAAGTATAACTGTGTTTAAATACAATTTAACTGTTACCAAAATGTTTAATCTGATAAGTGATATGAATAATAATATTAAAAATTACCTATCAAATTAAATCCGAGAAACAAATAATTAAAATTGTTGTAACTGCACCTAAACCAATTTATTTAATAATATGCCAATTTTACAAACACATATTTATTTTAATAATGTTTTATATCTAGTTTAATTTTTATAGTTGACTCATAAAAAATGTATATATTACTTTAGTAGGCACCTAAAACGTTTTTTATTTATTTAAACCTGACAAGCATAAATTAAAATATAATACATTATCAATACTTAATTAAAAAGATAGTTGGGATTGCAAAATTAGTTATTCTATACTAAAAATGTATTATTAATATTATAGGTAAAATTATATAAATATGATATTTGTAACAAACTAAAAATATAGATAGACACATGGCAAAGTTAATAAGTTTTATCCTAGAATCAAAGTACTTAAAGAAACAAATATATTACATAGAATATCACAAATATTATTTAAGTAGCTTATGGCGACAGAAACTTTTTATAGTTTATAAAATGTTTAATAAAAAAAATGTCACTAAAAAAAGTTTAAAAGAAAATATTGAACTAATTTAGTTCAGACCGATCAATACTACTGGTACAATATTAGTAATACATCCTATATATGTAAGTAAAAAATGATGCATATACAATAAAATAGTCAGTGCTCATAATACAATTTTGCAAAAAATATGTAGTGTTTAGTTATAATATCCATTTTAATCAAGTTAATACTAGTAAAATGTAAAAACTAAAGCGATTGATTTAATAAAAATATATTGAAATTGGATATAGTATTGTGGATGAGTATATTTTGCATTTCTAATAAACAATAATACATTAATAAATAGCACAAATAAAATAACTGGATGGACATGCAATAATTAGTTCTGATTTTAAAAATATGTCTCAATTTATTTAATGCATTTCAAAATGTTTTTATATAGTAATTATATTATGTGACATATGTTGTAATTAGAGCACTGTAGGTACATAAGATGATTCTAGGATATTTTATCTATGTGTATAATATTATACATGAAATATTTTAATTTAATTAGGTACAACAATAATTGTGTTAAAAAAAATATTAGTATGAAATCATTTACAAAAAGTATTAATAATTTAAAGTTATTTTAGTGCACATAGTATACATTATATAAAAGAGAAAAAATGTCTTTTTATCAGAATTAACACTAATAGTAACAAAATGTTGTTGTATATTAACAAATACTATACCCCAAACGTTAACTATTGTAAGTTACTAAGAATAACGATTTTATTTGAGAGAGAAAACAAATATTGCTGTAAAAATATATTGTTCTCTGTTTTAATTTAAGCATATGTACGATGAACCTAGGATCATGCTTTTGAATTTATATAGTTTTAGAATAATGTTTGAATACACTTATTTTTATCATATTATTAATATTATAATTTATTTTTGACCAAAATGGGCTTTTGTTACGCTCCCTCGGTATTACAAAATGCATTTCATATATCCTCTGATATATCCTGATAGGTAATATTTATATTTTTATTGAATATTGGAGAGAACAATATTAACAGCTCAAAAATAATCAATTATTGAATTAAAATTAGTAGAATAAATAGTATGTCTATACTTACAGTAGATGCCAATATGTCATGAGGACAGCAATACAATAAGAAACTTTTACAGACTTTTGGATCATTGAACTGCACTTGGTATCTACTTGTTTCCCCTGTAATCATTATTATTAAGTATAGAAATATGAATTAGAATGATTTGAGGTTTTGAAGTTACCGTTTCTGCCAGTGCCCATGAGCTGGTCCAACATGGCTCTCATTTGGTCGTGCGCGGACATAGTTCACAGGACGCCGTACCAGAGGTCTAGATTAGTATTTTAAATTGTCAAAAAAAATAATTAACAGATATGTACCGGATACAGACTTAGGAGGTGAATTAAAATGGCGGTGTCAATTAAGTGAGAACTTTGAATTTGTAATTTGTACTGACGTGTTTAAGGTAAGGTAGAAACAAGTAACGATACTTGGGATTTGGGAATTTAACGTGTTAACACACTATAATTTACGATTTTGTGATGGTAAATAATCATCAATCATCAGTGGAAATTACACGATTGTTAAAAAATGTTTGACTTACAGTGTGACCAACAGATAATCCGTGGTACTACAATGTAACATGGTGCAATACTTACCATAACTAAAAAAGAGCGGGCGTTCAAAATATTTTAAAGGATAAGACTATAAACATAATAACAAATGATACGGATTGCCAATGTAGAACCATCTTTCTCTTCTTCATAACTTAACAAATATTTACTCTCTTGTCTATTTTCTTATTTGATATTGATTAGTTATTTAAAAATTAAAACTTTAAGTGATAAGTCTTTATGACTGAATGTATGTAAATGTTACTATTACCATTGTAATAATGTAATGTAACCATTGGGGCCATTGGGCCCCGCCATAATAGATATAAATCCACAATAATACACGGTGAATGTATATTATGTCTCACTAAACTCAGGAGTCAGGAGTCTTGTTTTTAGTGGTAAGTGTCCCGAAGACTGATTAAGTCTAATTGTTTTGACAATAATTTTAGAAAACAGCTAAACACGCAAATACACCTACGTTTGGTTTCCCGATTAAAGTATCATCGTTATGATTACAAAATGTTCAGACAATTTATTTAAATTTTACAGTTAATTCATTGTCACTAGTATTTATTTTAAATTTATTTGACAACAAGCTTCTTATTATAGGCATTACAATAAATATGATCACTTTTTTATCAGCACAAAAAACAGATGTAGCTAATTCTAATGGTTTCAAAAGTAATATAAATCTCTGCATTTTTCCCAGTCATTTTCGAAAAACTTTGGTTTTTTGGTCATTTTTTTTGTAAAATATAATTGATCTGCCATCATAACAACTATTACTGACCGTACTTATATATTCGAATATTACGGATATTCGGATATCATAATATTACTGTTGATCGTGAATATTCGAATTTTGTTATTTAGATTATCCGGATATCATATACCGATTACCTATCCGAATATTTAAAAAATCCGAGTATATGTTTCAACACTAATAAACGTCATACGACGAAGTACTGCCCATCCGTTGTTGTAAGCTTAATTATTGTAATATTCGTCGCAAACCAGAGTATATACTGATGACATACACTGCTCGACTTGGAAAGTTGGAAAAATAAAATAGAGGGGGGGGGGTAAAATCTGTTTACTTTAAAAA